AGCAAAGAACGTGTCAGAACGTGCAAGGATTACGTCATTGGTAGGGAAATAACCACCGTACTAAAGATAGCCGTGGATAACGTAATTCTTGAATTGTGACTCGTGTGACTACTTTGCTAGCCCTTCACTCATGGAAAAACCAATTAAATTTAAGAATTCACAAAGGCTAAGAGCGATGGTGCAATAACACAGTTTGTGTTGATCAAGTGATGCAGTGTCTACAGTATTGACAGTAATCAATGAATCTTTAGAATGGGCGCTGCGTTGCGACCGTAGTGCTAAGAAAACAGTTAAATTTTAAAAGCGCGGCCATAAGATCTAACATATCTTCTTGTTTCATTGTAAAAGATGATAGGGAGATTTTGTTTTCTATTTAGCATGGAGTCCACATTAAATCGCTAATGGACCTAATGTATGCATGAACATAGAAGAAAATGATATACAGGAAAGGAATTGTAGCGTTACACGAGCCAACCGCGAGCCCAAGTCAACCTCAAGTCAACCTCGAGTCAACCTTGAGCCTGTTATTAAAATGTCTTGTTGTTAACTGCTAAGACAGTCTATATTCATATATTTTATTTCCTACAATCTATTTCTTTTTTCGGGACGAAATAAAAAATAAAAAATAAAAAATTGGCTTGCCTCGTGGTTGACTTGAGGTTGACTCGTGACTAGAGTTTGACCGGGTTGGTGGGTGGCTCGTAAGAAAGTCGGCAATGATAGGCCCTTTGCAGCTAAGCCATCACGTGACCTATTTTTGAAAAAATTATGGGCTATAACTTAACGAATGCCAGAAATGGAAAAAGTATGTCGAAAATATCAAAATGTGCAAGTTTGAGGCCCCCATCATTAAGGAAGGAGATTTTATGACGGTCCGAATTTTTAAAAGAATAAGAAGATTTGTATGGAAAAAGTTGCTGGAGAGCAAGGCTTTGCTCACCAGCAACATTTTACATACAAATCCTCTGAATTTCCGAAAATTCAAACTGTCGTACAAACTTACTCTTTAATTCCAGGGGCCTCAAACTTGGCCATTTTGGTATTTTCGATGCGCTGTTTCAATTTCTGGCTTTTTTAAAGTTATAGCCCATTGTATAAAAAATTTGCTAGGAAAAACTTGGTCACGTGACCCCAGCTGCAAAGGGCCTATTGGGTGGTAAAAAAGAAAGTTACGTAAAGCAGAAGTTGGTTGGCTCAAAATGAGTTAGGGAAAATTCCCAGAGGCGTCCTCTCAAAATTAGGAAAGCACCTAAGCCGTTGGTTAGTCTTTCGTAACACAGGGTTTTAAGCTATGTCGAAGAGTACCATCGAAGCTGATGTAAAGCGCGTTATGTCGGCGAGAGGCAGAGGGGAGGGAGGTCGGAGACTGCATGTGCAATGTTGTGTTCCAGGGTGTTTACAGACAGTGCGCAAGTTGCGTCTACATATCAGAAGGTCCCATAAGAAGCTCTGTCCTCTGTCCTGTTCTGCTTGCCAGGCAAGGTTCGTGGGACAGAATGATTTGAACAACCATCATAGGAACGGATGTTCCCGCGTTATGTCGGAGAGAGGCACAGGGAAAGGAACTCGGGGAAAGCGTGTGCAATGTCCAAAGTGTTTTACGACAGTGCGCAAGTTACGTCTACATATCAGAAAGTTCCATAAGGAGCTCTGTCGTGTGTCATGTTCTGATTGCCAGGCAAGGTTCGTGGAACAGAATGATTTGAACAACCATCATAGAGACGGATGTCCCCGCCGAAAGCATATAAGTTATCGAGTGACGGCTACCCCGGGAAGCTTAATAGGTAAGCATAAAGCAATGTGTTTAATTGTTGTAACCCGTGAAAATTTTCCAAAAAAGCTGATGACTCATTCCAAAGTTGTCAAAAGAACTTTGCGACCCATCCAACTTGGGGAACAACGTTCTCGTGTTCTGATAGAGCAAGATTTCTGCACAGTGCCATACATTTATTTGCGACTTCCGTGTTTTCACGTGACGTCATCGCCGCCCAGATGGTGGTCAGGAACAAATTAAAAGAATTTATTATTAGCTCTCACTGTTTTGACCACCATCTGACCTTACGTGCCATCGTTATCTGAGTCTCTAGAGATAGCAATTCATGATTGATGTTTGTGAGCGTAACTTTGTTGTGAGTAATTATGTAGGGAGAGAATCGTATGCATAATTAATAATTAGTATAATTAGTATAGAGTTGTATGGAATTCAGCTGTCCCCCACGTCTGATTCAAGACGTTAATCTATGTGATTTAACAATAATTTTCGGCCCGTTAAACCCACAAACAACTTAATCCTTCAAAAGGGTTGAAAAGCCAACCTTTATGGACAAACCTCAACGAATCAGCAGGAACTTCATTTTATTTCCAAGGTGCATGTGTTTTGCGAAATACACGATGTTCCTTTGTTTATTAAGCTGCAAAGTCATTTGTAAGAGCCAACTTACTAGGACATGCATGGACACTGCAGCTACTTTGCAAAAAGCCATAATTCCAGATAACACATGGGAGATCAAACATAATCTAGCTTGCAATATTATTGGTGCACACTTTGGAAGTGGTTTTTGAACTTGCATCCTTAATATAGCAAATGCACCAAGTCATAATTCTGTAGGCTGAAGATGCAACTTCACAACTTTCATTCTAAATATCAACTAAAATCAACCAAAGCACTTTACTTAAATATCTTGACAATGGTTTTGTTTCACTTTTTTATAAATGGAGTAGAAATCTAATTTATATGCAAAACATTAAATCCTAAAGGTACAATTCCAGGAAATAGATGAAGTACTTTTCTGAATTGTCTCTCGTTCCAGATCACATGACTGGGGGCATTTACGTTTGAAGATTTTGTTGAATTGGAACCAGACCATTTTAATTACTTGTTTTTTGGAAATAATATCAGCTGTTACCGCTCTCTTCGAAAAACCCAAAAAAGAGTATCGAAAGAAGAATGCCACCCATGCCACCATACCAGTTATAACCTTTTGTAGTACGGATGTATTGTTCCAGTGAACATGTATTTGTTGTTCTGGTCAATCCAACTTTTCCGTGGAAAACGAGCTGGAACAAGAGAAAAACTGCACTGTCTGAGTTTCTCCATTTCATACTGAAACCCACAGAACACTGTATACAAACAGGTGTAATATATGCAGTGGCAGATCTAGGGGAGGAGCCCCCTCTTATTTTGGGTAAAAAAAGTAGAAATCACAGAAGGAAGAAGGACAAGCAAAACAAAACCACCCCCCCCCCCCCCCCCCCCCC